CAACAAGAGTCTGGGGAAGACAAACTGCAGCTACAAAAGTGAAAAAACCAGGTTTAACTAAGTTTCAATGATCAAAACTGGAATGAAAAGAAAAGAACCAACAGAGCTGTTTTTATATCTTTTTTTGTATAATAAATCATGAATAAAATAAAAAAAAAACAAAATAATACATGTGTCACATTTACTCTGCAACAACCTGTTTGTGTGGATGAAATTAATATCAACATGAGTTTAGTCTTAACTTTACAGAGTAATACAACACAAACTATCCATCACCCTCCCCTCTGTTCAGTCAAACTGTCTCATTAACAGCAGCTGAATCAGCTGTGATCAGCTTCTGTTTGCTGTGTCATGGATGAACAGTCAACTATCACTGGATCACTGTGATACTGAAGAAAATTTCAAAACATGACGATTCTGTTCGGTTCTGCAGCCTTTTCTCTCTGGTTTCTAAGTGGATTTCTGAGGTTTATACTGGAGGGACATCAGAGATAATGATATCGTCAGGAAGTGATGTCACACTGAACCAGATCAACATGTGTTTCATGTCTGTGTGTTCAGGTCTGAGTCAGTCAGGACTCCAGAGAATGAGAATGAGGACCGATTTTCGACACAAGACATGTCAGTTGGTTATGGGTAAAAATATGAATATTACAAATCCAGAAGGACACAGTCTGTCTATTAATTACCCCAGCGTGGGGTTGATAAACTCTGACTTAGAGAAACTAATCTGCTGCAGAAATTTTCTTTTTGTTGTTATTTCTATTATCCATCATAGGAAATCTGATCTTTGCTCACCAGCAGAGGAGGCCGTTCACTGTGAGGCTCCTCAGAAACTGTAAAATTCTCCAGTACAGCTCTCAGCATCCTGCAGGTCCAGTCAGCGGGTCTGTGGTCTCGGTGGGAGCGTCTCCTGCCTCCAGAGCTCTCCGTACGTTCTGCCAGAAGACCCCCATGTGCTGGCCGGCCTGAGGCCAGCTCAGGTAGGTGCGTCTCTTCACCAGCTTCCTCATGCGGTAGTAGGGAGACAGCTGCCGAGCCGGGATCTCCTCCAGGAACAGCAGGATCAACACGTCCTTCTTCTCGTCAAACAGACGGAAGCTGCAACAACACACACAGGACAGACCAGACCACATCAGGACAGACCAGGACAGACCATTAAAGACGGTTAAACTCTATTATTGTCTTTAACAAAGATAGAATAATAAAGGTGGTGCCCCCACCTGGCCATCTGTATCTCTCTGGAGCACCACTCGCTCTGCAGATAGCGCCGGGTGATCACACAGATGGTCTTCCTGCTGCTGTAAATGGCGTCTGTGATGTTCTCTATGATGGGCTTACCTGTCGAGACAACAGTGTGTAGCCATCGCCTGCACATTCAAGACTCACTTCCCTTCACAGGGTTCTAGTTTTAAAACCACTAACTCATTGAATTAGCGCTAACTTCATTAGCTGCAGCTGATGAAATCTGACAGTGACAATAGAAGGGTTCCCCTTTTATAGAAACACAACATCGTAACAGCTTTTAAATAGACAAAAAAAAAAACCTGTAAACTGACAGTTTAGACGTGAAACTGTATGTGACACACATCCTCTCATTTCCAAAACCTTTTTTTAATCACACACAACCTCTGATAGACGTCTGTCAGCCCTTGTTAACTAACATGTGTTGGGCTGACCAGTATGGTCCAGTGTAGGAGCTTAAACCGGTTTGATTTTATGTGAACCGACAACATTTAAACACAGCAGGAAGAAAGTCATAGCAAAAGGTGGTAGTACATCTAATTTTCATCCCATCTGCAAACATATCATATCCGTCTACTACAGAAATATAAGCGAGATGATATATATATATATAAGAGAAGATACACTCCTAAAGAGATGGTGTCTTTCAATATAGTGGAAAATCCATCTTTTAAATCACTTCTCATGACAGTGATTCAGTTTGATCCACCAGGTTGAAAGTTTTATCAGTATCAGTATCTTATGGTATTCATTATTTTGATGTTTAGAAGAAGAAGTTTAGTTGAATGGTCGTTGATTTGTCACTCAGTTGTGTTACTTCTTATTCATGGTTATCAAGCCAGCTGTGCATTACTCCCACCAAGTGGACTGGAGTCACTCTCATTTACGTGCTCTCCCAAGCTGTGTCCCAATTCCCAATCACAGTGGCATGACTAGGCTGTCCCATTTCAAAGGCTCCTTCTGATGCATCCTTCTTTTCCTGGGCCCAACCCATCCCAAGATTCAATCAATGAAAATAATATGGCAGCAAACAACACCGACAGAGAGCCCGCGGATTACACTTTTAAATGTAACTATTGGGGTACAACAACTAACAAAACCAAGGGCTCTAGTTTTTGTGAAGAAAGGTTAAGGTTGCTAGGCAACAGGAGCCCCGCTGTGCAACGCCAAGGCAAGGATGGGCACAGCTGGTGACGTAAAGCGAAAATCCTCCACAGACCAGACTGTCTCATTTGCCTTAGGCCTTCGTGGTCTACGATGGAGACAAAGGACCACACCTTCATAGACCGCGCCCTCCCGAAGGATGAGGTCATCATTATGTTCCACTCGGGAGCGTGCGTGTGTGTGACACCTTGTGGTAAAATTTGGTAATTCAGTGTTTGGCTTAGTATCATATCAGTTTGAACATCTTTACACCTGCCCAAAGCTACAGTGATGGTGAGGCGACACACACAGTTATCTCCACAGGTACAAAGAAATGACCTGTGTCTGTCAAAAACATCAACCGACAGCGCAGGTTCAACTTAAAAGCACAACATTAGCATAAAAACACTAACGTTGTCCTGCTGTCAGTGTAATTGATCACACAGGATCATGAACAGAGACTCTGGACGCCTGTTTCATTTTTTTTTTCTCTGGAAAATTATGAGCAGAACAAAGTGACACACTTTTCATCCAAAGCCTGTTTCATCCTATTCAGCTGTCAACTCAGCTGTCAGCGACTCAAGAACTGAAACTCTAAACACCAGTCACACACAGAGCCTGACAAATTCTGGTAATGTTCATTAAACTGCCTCGAACACAGTATCAACAGTGTAAAACCATCCACAGCTTCAGCTCTGACCAGACCACTGGAGCTAACAGCTAATCCTGCCCCCTGAGCTGAAAGAGATAACGAACATTTCTCACTCACTAGCTGTTTTTTCCATTGGCTTTCTTCCTCCTGCCTGAAAATAAAAAGCTGAAAAAAAGAGCTAAAAAAAGGATGTGAAACTCCAGTACCTCAAAAATAAAATCTATAATGTGAGCGCTCTGCACTCACAATATCCCTGACAGGAAGCAGATAAGAGTGAGCACAAATCAACACACTGAGAGTAAATCTAAATGTCACTGTTGAAAGAACAAGAGCAAACAGTTTCAAACAATTACCACCCAATAATGAAAATTATATCAAATATCAATATTTTCAAACTACTGCTTTAGCAAAAAACACAACCACAAGCATTGTTTCAGGAAAATGTAAAAAATGTTTTAAGGCTTTTGAAGAAATGTGTATATTACCAATGTTTCTACCACAAATAGTCTTTCTCAAGACACTGAAAAAAAGTTTGGTTGATAAAATCATCGAAGCATAGTTTGCAATCATCTTCCCTTTGATACATGTCATTGCCCCACAGCACCTGGTCTGTGGAGTGCATTCAATGACCATATTGTGATTTTTCTGTTGATGACAGTTGATGACAACACCAATGAAATTCCACTTTTCTTGGTACCAAAATCAACACAACAGCAAAAAAATAAAACAGAGACTGCTCCACACACAGTGCTCCCGCACAAACACACATGCAAACACCTCCATATAATCAGTAGTTTAAGTTGACTAACGTGGTGACAGATCAATGGTATGAAGTCAGCGTTATATTCTTACAGAGTGAACAGTGATGACTATAGCCTACTAATGTTTTGAGCACCCAAGTCATGATATGAGCTGTTTCTGTTAGCTTAAACAAGCCAACGTTAGCCTCTGTGAAAATTGTGTGTGGTGCGTTGTTACAACAGATGTCAGCTGTCGCGATTCACAAACAATAACATCTACATTTCAGGACATGAACATGTTGACAACACGTTGTTAATATGAAGATAAAGTGGTAGTTCAAGTTATTTAACGTGGTATTTTAAGAGGTACTTACCTCAAAGTCAGTGTACTACCTGTAGTAGATTCAGATCAGTGCACTAAGTGCAGCAGCAACACCAGCAAAAAAATGTGTTTTAGCCATTTAAAAAAATACCCATGAAAAAAGCTAATATCAGTTTAAGTGTACTCTATATTTTGAATATTTCTATACTATATAATATTCCTACACACAAGCGCAACTATGGCGTGCACTGTATTACTCCTCAGATCAGCTGTTTGAGTCAGACAGAGCTAAGTGCAGGTGTGCTGAGTATAGTAATACGGTAGTTAAATGGCTCACAAACTGTAATTCCAAAGTGAAGGGCTGTTTGACGGCAAGATGAAGCAGTGAAAATATTTAAAATAAAACGTACACTAAACTGATCTTAGCTTTTTTATGTGGGCATCCAAATCAGGTAATAAACTGACTATAGATAAGTACCTCTCACAACCTGCAGGTCAAATAACCCAAACTATCAGTTTAATAACTGAAAATCACTCAGCCTGAACTCTGTGTACAGATGTATACAGATATCTGTCTTTGAGCTGCTTAGGTCAGTTTGAGATGTTTCCTTCTCTCATTTAAAACGCTCTGTGGCACCCTTTGCATACTGGCTTTTTGTCGTCTGTAACTTGTTCCTGATAATCCACATCAAATACAAAATATCTCCATACACCAGTCACAACAGTTAGATGTATGACTAGATAGAACTCTTGTGGGGTTACGATACTGCTCTCTTTAGTCCTGGAAGAATCACATCTCAAGTACCTACATTATCTATGGTACCTACTGTACTGTAGGTTTCAAGTTGGTACCGAAGTATTGGTTTTCGTGACTTCCCTACTTTTGAAAGTTGTAGGTGCTGTGTGATAAATAAACTCCAGACAAGAAGCAGAGAAGGGGAGATAGAGAGACAGACAAAGTTTACCTGGTTGGAAGTCTCTGTGGTGCAGACAGAGTGTCCAGCCCTGCTCCCCTTCCAGCACTGGGAGCATCTCTCTGTAAACCCAGTCCTTGTCGTGAACGTTGTAGGAGATGAAGGCGTCGTAGCGATGAGGAGCGCCCTTCCGCCTCTTCCTGCTATCATAGAGGAAGTCCAGGAAGAGGTGGAAGGTGTAGGCTAGCTGCCATCGCAGAAAGTCGTAGATGAAGGATGAAAGCAGAGTTAGAACAACCAGACAAATACTCGTAATGAAGCAGAGGAAGCCGTAGTCCATCCAACAGGATTGAATGTCAAAGTCCAGTAACTTGTTTCCTTGTTCAGCCACAGGAAAGGAACACATGTAGTTGTAGGTATTAACGACCTGAGTTTGGTTGTTACTCTTCATCCATTGGATGAATCCAGCATTAGAGCAGTCACAAGTGAATGGGTTATTATCTAGGTCCAGATATATCAGTGCAGGGAGGTACTGGAAGACCATCTCATTGATCACTGTCAACTCATTGTTGGTCAGCGTCAAGTGCCTTAGTTCAGATAGATCGGCCTGGGCCAGAAAATCCAAAGAACTGAGTTTACTGTAAGAGAGATCAAGCACCTGCAGGTTTGGGATTGGCAGAAACAATTCTGGGTCCAAATCTGACAAATCAGTGTCCCTGATTGTTAGATTCTTGAGCTGGGGGTTGTACTGAAATGTGTTCCGATCTGGTGCAGCAATATAGACATTGTTAGCTGTGAAGCCCTCCAAATGTTTCATAGCCTGAAACATGTCCATAGGTATATCAAAGGGGAAGCCGAAGTGATAGCCCTCACATATCATTGTGAAAACTTTCAAAGACTTTAAATGATAGAATGATTTGTGATCATTTTCAAGAGGACTTTTGAAAATGCCATCAATATTGAAGTAGACTGTGAGATTTTCCAACTGCTGCAATTCTCTGAAATTGTTTTCATACTCCAGTGGAAGAGATACTCTAAGATTTCCCAAGTTCGTCAGTCCTTCGAAGGCCTTATGTTTTACCCTTCCAATTTTCTTTGACACCACATCCAAATATGTCAGGGACCCTAAACCTTGAAAATCCCCCTTCTCAAGAAGAGATACAAAGTTTTTGCTCAAATCCAGGAACTCGAGCATCGGCGGGCCAGTTTTGAAGGCATCTCCGAATGTCCAAAGCAGGTTGTCACTCAAATCTAAAACCTTTAGATCATTAAGATTTTCAAATGCACATCCGTCCAGTGTAGCAATGCGGTTCATGCTCAGATCAAGATGTGTGAGATGTTTCATGTTCATGAAATCCTCGCAGCCCAATGTGGAGAGGAGATTGTCGCTCAGATTCAGGATCGTGAGGGAGGAGAGGCTCCTGATTTCATCTGGCACATTGGTGAGGAGGTTAACCTCCAGATTCAGAGACCTGAGTTGCTGCATCGATCGTATTGAGCCGTTTGACAGTTCAGTCATGTGAGTAATGGACAGGTCAAGGTCACTTAGCTGAGAACAAGTCACAAGTTTGGCACTTAAATTGGCATCATGGTTGTAGTACAGCTCCAGCCTCCTAAGTGTTGGTATTTTGCAGACCGTAGCTAACAGACCTTTCTTGATCCATTTCTCCATATAATTCAGTCTCAGATGCATCAGTGAGTCGAGACTCTCCAGGACTTTTTTAAAGTCTGTAAAAGGAATCAGAGCCGATTTAAAATACAACTGAGTTATGTTCCTCAGTAAACTCTTGTCAGGTATGTCCCAATTCAAGCCAGTGTGTTCGCCACATGCAGAAAAGTCAATCATCTCAAGGTGGGGAAAGATCGGTGTTGTGATGCTGAAGTTTTCCAACTTAACATTGTTGGAAATATCTAACAACTGAAGGCCTGAGGGCACATTCAGCAGCAGATCTTTGGTATGAAAGGAGGTAAATAGATTGCTACTGATGACCAGCTTCTGTAGGTGTGGTAGCTGTAGGATGGGCTGAATGTCAGCTACTTGTTGGAGCTTGTTGTTGCATAATATCACAGTTTGTAAGCTGGACAGGAAGCTAAAGGCCGATTTATGGATGAACTGAATTTCATTTAGACTGAGGTCAAGCATGGTCAGGTTGGACAGTCCCCGAAAGAGGCTGCCTGTTAGCTTGGTGAGTTTGTTGAAGGGCATGTGAAGCATTGTCAAGGACGTCAAATGGATGAAAGATTCATCGTCAATGTGAGCAATGTAATTAGAGTCCAGGTGCAAAAATCTCAGCTTTGACAAGTTGCCAAAGTCTTTCCTGTTGATCTGTTGAATCAGATTGTTATAGAGTTTTACTGAGCTCACATCTCTGGGGATGTCATCTGGGACAGTCATAAGTTTACGTTGTACACAGTCCAAAACTACATCAGCTAAGGGATCCTGAGAATACTCGATATTGCAGTTTTTCAGCGAATATGCCAGCGAAGGGTTAAGATGAAGCAGGAGAGACAGAAGTAAGACAAGACGTCTCTGTGTTAAGTTTGAAGACAAACATTCCATCTTTGGCACCATCATTGTTGAGTCACGGTAAAGTTGCTGTTAATCTTGGTCAAAGGTGTAGATCTGTAGAGGACATGCAGGTGTCAAACATGAATAAACATGTTACTTAATTAATTTTCTTTGATCGATACCATTTGATAAGTGTACGATAAATATGAAACTACAGCAAGGAAGTTAGCTTAGCTTAGCATAAAGAAAACAGCTAACCTGGCTCCGACAAAAGTAAAAAAAAAATCCACCTAGCAGCACCTGTAAATCTCACAATATAACTAACAGACATGCTAACTCATAATTATTTTCTTATTGATTAATTCTAAATTTTAAAAAATCAACCTTGATAAATCATGACTTTCTATTATATAACGTACGATATTATGATAAAGCTGGCTATAGTGTTTTCAATAATTATAGTAGTTTATAATAATAATAAACTTTATTTGTGTAGCACCTTTCATCCAAAAAATGAATGATGCACAAAGTGCTTTACAACAAAGAAATTACATGCATCAGCTGCTGCACATGAACAGATATAACATAAATATAAAAACAAGTTAAAGGCATTAATGTAAAATGAGATGTGAAATGATAAAATGATAATAAAATAAAAAAATAGAAATAAAAAATAGACATAATGGTGAATCTATAAATATATGGTAGTATAACAAAAACTACAGATGCTATGTAAACCTCTGTGTTGTGACCCTACTCGATATCCTTTATAGATACTTGATTCTTTCTAATAGATAGTGTTATATTTAGAGTTGGATGCCATGGAAGTGACAAATAAATCGGATTCTGATTCAGATTCTGAGGTTCATCAACATTTTTATCCACTTAGATCTTCTCTCATTAGAACAGCAATCTATCCATTTATCTATTTATCCATCTATCTATTCATCTATCCATAGAGGCATGCCAAATCTTGACTGGAGTTGCATTACTCAACTTCTGTTGCAGAAATACTTGAACATGTTTCAGAAAACTGGAAACAAAAAAGAATAACTGTACATCACCATATGAGCAGGATTTTGAATTAAATTGAAGAATTTAAAGTTATACTTGAACACAAAAACAGCTTCAGTGACGTTACAGGTAAATAAAAGTTGGTAATACTCACAGTTCATCCTCAGAGACTGGGCTAGGCACGAATGCCTCTTCTCCCTTCTCTATTATTTCCCCAACAGCAGTGAAGGAGCTGAGCTAAAGGCTTATCATCACATCTGATGGCTCACTTCGCGTTCTTCTATAGTTGAGTTATTTCCTTAATCTCAAAAACAGCCTCTGTCACTGAATAGGAGAAGTTACAGTCAGGGATCTGATCTGACAAACAGATTTCTGCTTCAGTGATTGTGGTGGATCAGTGACCTTCAGTACGTGACAGAGTGTAAATAAGCTGCTTTTAGTCGGATTTAAATACTGACAGGGGGCAAAAAAATCAAAACTGTGCTGAAAGTGACTAAACTGCTGTTCAGCAACATCATCAGAAGATATTTTAGAAAATGGCAACAAAGCTGCAGCAGGTTGAAAACTGTTGTGATCAACATCCACAAAAGTTTTTGTGGAAAGTTTAATTTGATATTCAAGAACATTTCAGTGAATATTCAAGACTTTTAACAGATCCTCAAGAGACTTAATTTGGGAACATTGTTGTAGAAACCCAAGAATGTTTGGAGAGGTAGCTTTTAATTTTAGTCCATATATAAATAAAGGTGTAAACTGTAGCAGACAGTCGGGAAGGTTTTGTGGGCTTTTCGTGTCTCTTTGTGGTTGTTTTGAGCTCATCTGTTATCGTTTTGACACAAAACATATTTTCAGCTCTCTGTAGTTCATGTGTATCTTTGTGGTTGTTTTGCATCTTCTTGTGGTTGTTCTTCAGTCTCTTTGGAATACTTTTTTCCTCTCTTTGTAGTCTTTTAACTGAGCTCTGTGATTTTCAAACAATCACTTCATACAGAGGCCCTTGCCCAAGGGTTCATGGCACCATGGGCCATGGGTATTGATTGATTATACTAGGAATTATTATCACATCCAGCTGGGACATACAGACAATGTCACATAAATATCAAGAAATTCATGCCCATGGTCTTATTGTTTGTTTTCTGTTATTCTTCAAATGGTGTGACAGTGTTGAAAGTCAATGTCTGAAAAAGTCTTAAAGTTAATTTGTTGAACTCTCCAGAATTCCTGCTCATGGCCCACATCATCATCATCTACTCGTTATAGAAGAAACTGTTTCATGATGTTGATACCAGATTGAAAACAGCAAATTTCAAGATTTATTTCAAACAGACACAGCAACACACTCAGGACACACAAACACAGTCAGATGTTGTTGTGGTAGAGAAGTGATGGTGGATCTCTGCTCTTCATGTCATTCCTTCTTCTTTGTCTCCATCTGAGCACAGCCACCACTGGCAGGTGATAATTATAACCCCCTGCCTCCTTTTTTTCTTCTTCGTGTGTGTCTGTTGTTAAAGTGAGACTTGATAATTAGCCTTCAGTCCTCCCACAGCTTCCATCTATCATCTCAACTCTTCTTTATTTTTCTTCTTTTATGTCACTGAAGCACTCTCTTTAGCTGGAGTCTGAGTTTGGACTTGTAAATGAGGCTTCTTGTCATGGCCACCCACTGGGGGCTTCTGGGTAACGCAGTACAAAGAGACGAGGCGGTGACAGGAGCTAAAGCATGGTGAAAAACCTAGTGAATAACAGTGTTTGTTGAAGTGTATAAAGTTCTGAATCATTTTGTCACAACTGTAAGGGTTTGTCAGGGTTTGAGGGGTAAGGGCTGGACCCAAATGCATCCAACACATGGGAGATGGTGCAGACAGGTTTATTAAACTAACACACGCACAGGGAACCACAGGGGATGACAACAGGTAACATGAACGGACTGAAGACAAACCAGACTTGAACAACTTGAGGAAGATCCAGAAATCAACAGGCTAAGGACAAACCCAGAGACAACAATGACAACGGTGACAAACCGACCCAGACAAAGGGGAGCACAAAGACTATATAGACAAGGGAGGCAAGGGTGATTGAACACATTACACATTACAAAATAAAACAGGAAGTGCAAAAAGTCCAAACAAAGCTAACAAAAGGTGTCTGCCATAGCAAACCATGACACATTTACTTTCATGTTATTTGTTCTTATTTGTTTTTGTTAATTAGATGAGATGATGTCATAAACATAAAAATGGGTTTGTTATCATAACAATAGTTATGTTGCCATGACAACCTCATAACACTGATTCTTTTAGTAATGTTTTGTTACCATAATAACATATAACATTGACATTACATTGTTACTGTTGTAACATCATCTTATCAGCTGTTCAGTTACTCTGGTAAAATATAAATGCAGTTGGTTTGTCACCATGGTGACATCAAAATGCCATGCTAATGGCTACTTACTAGCTTTCAATCCAAGCCAGAAAACACTGACCTGAGGTTGTTGTTGTTGTTGTTACCATGATCACATCATAACTGCATTGTTTAGTTAACATTACAACATAATGGCAGTTGTTACCATAACAACATGATAGTGATAACACCTCCATTGTCACCTCAGCTGACGCATGTTTCTGTTCTTTCATTTTCAGACCGGAGCCGACACAGAGAGACTGACAGGAAGGAGGACCCTCATTAATTATGCACATATTCATGAGGCTAATATGCTAATGAGGAGCAGGCCGCCCACTCAGCAGGAGGTCATACACTTGATAAGATAACTGGCTTCCCACAGTCCTCCTGGGAGTCCATCTGCCGATTAAACACACACTTCAGAGCTGGCTGAAAGTACAAAGTGTGTGTGTGTGTGTGTGTGTGTGTGTGTATGTGTGTCTGCATATTCTAAAAGGCCATAGATAGTGCAGGACAACAGGGGGCAACATGTTTATCAGGTGATGTGCTACAACATCACTTTCTTCCACTTGTTTAACTGTTAGCAAAATGCTAGTGGAACCCAGTGGAAGCTTGATTAGCATCTATGTCGCTAACTGGAAAAAAGTTTGTTTTTGAATGCACATGATGAAAACATTGTGTCTCATGTAATAGACCTTTATGAAACGACAACATGAAAACTGTGTGTGTGTGTCTCTGGTACTTTATTGTTCTGCTTCACTCTCACTGCTCTCATAGTGTCATTTTTTCCTGCAATAGTCGTGTAAAAGCCGCTGTCCTCTACCTGCTCAGCAGCAGCCAGCAGACAGACACAGTCAGAGAGCAGCTACTGAACATAATGGAGCATTTAGCAGCTAGAGAACCAGATATTTCCCTCTGTTCTGGATCCTTCACTCAGTTAGTTTGAGTTCCCAGACTCTCTGGCTGTCTGTGGTTCTCCCTCCTAGTCTGTACCTTTCCCTCCTCCCATCTCCTCTCTTCATTAATTCTATATCGAGATGGGGAGTCACCTTCAGCTGCTCAGCACATTTACATATACTGCTCATACATATCACATATAAAACCTCAGAGGAGTCTCACCTTAGATTAAAGCATTTCTCCGCTCACAGGTTCAGAAAATCTGCACAGTGACTTTTGGGTTAGGGTGAATTCCCTCCGGTGGAGCAAGGTCCTGACACTGCTGGGGGTTAGGCATTCAAATCCTACCGGGGGCACAGACACTGATAATGCAGGCAGTTATTTTCCTAGGTGGCAGACATCATGTGAGATTAAAAATGGTCTTAATTCTCCTGAGGATAAAACAGGAAGTAAAATCAGTTTCTGTTGTATGAAACAAAATATGGATCAAAGCACAACCAAGAAATAGCCAAAGTCAGGAACAAAACTCTCAACCATAAACTAATCTACACTCCAGATCCATCATCAGATCTGCACAACATTAGTGTAGTAAACTATATACAATAATCAGGACTCCTGCTTTCAACGCACGTGGTCCAGGTCTGATTCCCACTGTGGTAAAAGGTTGTGGCTTATAGTTGAGCTGTGATGACACCTTACTCATCATGTGTGAATTGGGTAATTTACAACACGTGAGGACGATCTGCTTTCACAGCTGCTTTATCTGTTTTCAGGTGTGACTTTGAATTACATAACTTTATTCTGAAAACCTTCCTCCGAATGACAAACCCACCGGGCCTCGTCTCTCATGGCTGTTGGTCTGTTTACGAGCTTCTGGCTCATGAGGATGTGTGAGGCACAGAAAGTGAAGCTGTTAAATAAAGACTCTGACTCCTCATGAATAAAATGGTGGACTGGACTTTACAGAGATGAAGAACAGAAACTGCTCAGGCCTCCATGAAATGTCGTTGAACTCCCTCACCCTGCGTGTTTGCTGTTAACTGCTCAGAAAAAGAAGTGAAAAACCTGAAATACAAAATTCAAAGACCCTTGAGAGATTTTCTGACATCTCAGTTAGTTTTCAGTAAATGTGCGAGGAAGTTTCCACAAACTCTGACAGAGGTGAGGTTTTATTGTGTCAGACACATACAGCGAGAGAGAGAGAGAGAGAGAGAGAGGGAGTGAGACACTCTACACTGGCTTATAATAGGGATTATTTGGCAAAATACAAACAAATACTGGCTAAAATAAGAGAGTTCAAGTTGTAGCTAACCTCCCCTTAATGAGTCATCAGCTTAGTTATAATTTTTAATATGAGTCTTTGGTTTCTCAGTTTGTAATGAGCTGTGAGCAGAAATTAGTCAGTTATAAACCTGCAGTTATAAAAGTTAATGAATCATTAATAAAAGGTCCAGATGTTCTGCAGCTGTTTTCCAGAAGTGGTCAAACAGAGGTGAAAAAAGTGAGGAGGATTTTCCTCAACCTGGCAATAAATATAAAGCATCAGTAAATGATTCATTAACCATTAAAATAAAGCTATTATAAATGGAGCCTCATCAGAAAGTGGGGCAGTTTTTCCTCATCATTTCCTCTCTGAGGACAGAGGTGATGTTTGCTGATCAGACTCTGGAGGTAAATCTGTGCTACATAGATGAACTGACTCCCGGAACTGTTTTCCACTTTGCCCAGTTAGTAATTCAGCCTAGTTAAAGAGAAATAAAATGCCAGCCATGGACTGTGATGGATGGTTTCTCTGCAGCAGCAAGTGTCTGGAAATTGATTTTTTTTTTTTTTTTATAGAAATGAAGTGAAACCAGTGTCTGAAGCCTGAAAACTGAGAAACAACATTTTAACTCTGCTCTCTCTCCAGT